CAAGGACTCTATTCCATTCATAGTAGTGCCAAAGAAGTTGAAATATTTGGGAGTTTACCTAACAAAGGATGTGAAAGATCTCTATAAAGAAAACTATGAAACTCTAAGAAAAGAAATAGCTGAAAATGTTAACAAATGGAAAAATATACCATGCTCATGGCTGGGAAGAATCAACGTATTTGGTTTCATTTTATACTAAGTTTCCTTTTTAAAAAAATCTTTTCTATCATTTCTCTATACTATCAGTATCTATTTCTCTTCCCTCACTTCTCACTATCTCTATTCTAAGAAGTAACTGTGAATTATTAGCATAAGAAAATCTACAGAGATTACCCAGTCCCTAAATTTGCAGTTTTCCATAATCAAGAAATCCCTTTCAATACTTCCATCTATGAAAGTTACCTCTTGAGAGAATTCTGCCTCACGAGCAATGTATTAATAATTATTTTAGACTTTTACTATAGAAATCTGAAACATACATAAGTGTGCATGTATACATGTATATTTATATATAAAACAAGTGTATGAACTGAGCTAATATGTTACATAAGAATAAATGAATTAAAGGTCTTTGGGTTAGCCTATATAGCATCAACCATGGTTTATATATCATCTCTGTTAGCTTTTTAAAAATATTGCTTGTATTTTACCTTCTTTCATTAATTGTTCCAAAAGGATCCTTGGTATACAGGAAACTTCAACTGCAGATCTTCTGATCCAGTTAGCCAACTCATCTGTCCATAACTTGGAAGTTAAGCATAATCTAGGTACTCAAATAATGACATACAGTAGGGAAATCTCATGCAAAGCATTGTCACATTTTTAAAGTATTTAAATATAGCATTCAGAAATTACAAAGAAACATAAACATATATTGGTTAATTGAGACAAACCAAACATCTTTGTAGCCACCTAGTATCATCAAAACATAGAATATATCTAATACTTCACTTGTGTCCCTTCCAAACACTTTCTGACCCAGGATCAAAAGGCATATGTGCTCTTGTTGCAGGAAGACGAGGCTCAATGGAGATAAAGAGCACCCAAACACCACGTTTATAAGAGGCAGGGCTTTATTCATCAGCTGGGAGCTTACAGCATAGAATTCCAAATGGCCACACTCCCTGACTGACTTGGTCTTTCCCTTTTTATTGACAGTTAAAACATTCCAACCCACAGACACCCTTCTCATTGGCCAGTTTGAATCAAGCGGGAGATGGTATTCCAGCCCCTACAGAACTACAGGATTTCACAAAACTTGGAAATTTCCAAGTTCCAGGAAGTTAAGTTTACAAATTCCCAAGAGCTGAGTCACCATGAAGAGGAACTTGCAGGTGTATCCTTGTGGTCTGCTTGAGAAGACCTGTCCTCCTAGACCTCACTCTTCTCTGGTATCCTCTCTCATTCTCAACTTTAGTAGATAATACAACTGTTTTCTAAAATCATCAGACCTACTTAAACTCCCACAAATGGAACACAGCATTTATCTTCACAATAAACCTTTAGTCATACTTGGTATTGTCATGTGGAGAGCTCATTATGATTTGATTTTCATTTTACTTATAACAAATAAAATTTGTAAGTTTTTATGTGTTTAGTGGACCTGTTTTAAGTTTTACTCCTAGATATATATGCCCTGTAGAAATGTGTCTATTTATGTACCAAGACATGTGTATCATAATGTTAATAGAAATATTATTAAAAATAGCCAAATACTGGAAATTGCCCAGATGCCCATCAACATTAAAATAGATAAAATGGGAGATTCCATACAATGGAACATTATAGATAAAATGAATGGATATGACACAGCAAAAGAAGACTACCTCTTGCCCATTTTTGTTTTGGGTTATCTCTTTTCTTTATTGATTTTTAAGCATTCATCATATGTTTTAAAGGTGAGCCTTTTGTCAGTATGCATGTTGCAAATACCTTCTCTCTCTGGCTTTTCTTTTCATGTGTTAGTGATATATCTTGCTGGAATTAAATTCTTTGTTGTATTGATTTTTAAGCATTCATCATATGTATTAAAGTGAGCCTTTTGTCAGTATGCACGTTGCAAATACCTTCTCTCTCTGGCTTTTCTTTTCATGCGTTAGTGATACATCTTGCTGAATTAAATTCTTTTTTTTTCCAAGTTTTTGGCTGGGGCCAGGTTTGAACCTGCCACCTCTGGTATATGGGGCTGGTATCCCACTCCTTTGAGTTACAGATGCCACCCTGGAATTAAATTAAATTCTTAATTTCAATATAGTACAGTTGATTATTCTTTTCTTTATGATTATGACATTTTGAATCTGGTTGAAAATCTCTTCCTCCTCCTAGATACCCTATGTAGTCTTTTATTTTTTCTTTAAACCAGGGGAAAGTGTGAACACAGTCCCCTACTACCACAAATTATGCAGTCCAGTTTTCCACATTTGGGGAAATCTCAGGGGTCAAAACATCTGGAGCACAATGGATAAGCCTTGCCCTAGGAAAACCACCTTTGTGATCATGGGATCTCCCCTGCCAGGTGTCCTATGTAGTCTTTTCAAAGCTTTATTATTTTCCCCATCCCTTTAGCTCTTTTCATTAGCTTCCCAGAGAAAAGTCACTGACAGCCCCCACATTCAAGATCCAGCCCACCACACTGTCATGCTAATGCTGACAAAAGCCATGGGTACATTAAGACATTAAAGTGATTTTGAAATCCTCACCTGCCTAAGGCGCCAGCCGTGTACACCTAAGGTGGCGGGTTCGAATCCCCAGCCCGGACCCGCCAAACAACAATGACGGCTGCAACCAAAAAATAGCCAGGCGTTGTGGCGGGCGCCTGTGGTCCCAGCTACTTGGGAGGCGGAGGCAGGAGACTCGCTTGAGCCCAGGAGTTGGAGGTTGCTGTGAGCTGTAATGCCACGGCACTCTGCCCAGGGGAACAGCTTGAGGCTCTGTCTCAAAAAAAAAAAAAAAAAAAAAAGAAATCCTCACCTGCCAAACCCAGAAGCAAAAACATCCACAGTAAATCCTTCTCTCACATTCCACTGTATTCTTAAACAGCAGCATTGAACTGATACTTTTCTTCTTATACTTTTGCATAAGCTATTTTCTTTCCTCAGCATTCTTTGCTCTCTATTATCAAACTTGAAATGCTAGCTATTCGCAATATGGGATCCCTCCATGTCCCTGGTGTGATGACCACATTCTAACCTAAATAAACAGATCCCTGCCCAGCTGGTCCTCCAACATTGTATCAGCAAATACTGTGTTTTATACTCAAAATGGTATTTTAAAATCATGTCACTTTTCACTCTTTCTGCTCAAAACCTCTCAATGCATTCCTATTACCTTTAAGGTAAAATCTGAAACATGTTGTACAATTGACAATGGTCTACATGTTCTATCCATGCTTATTTCTCCAATTTAAAGTTTGTTGCTTTCTTTCTTGTTATTTACATTCTAGCTGACCAGAATTGCTTCTTATTTCTCCCCAAAGTTGTGTTCTCTCCCTGCCTGGTCCTTGAATGTGTAATTTTATACAGAATATTCTACCCATCTAACCTGGCTGAATGTGTGTGATTGCAAATCTTCCTGAGGTCAATTCTTGTTGGAGTCTTCCCATCACCACACAAACACTCACCCTCTCAGGATGACTATATTACACTTTCTTATAACCTATGTTTCTACTTTTATCTCACTACTTAATTTTGTCTTTAGTTATTGAATATCTATGTCCCATGATTCTCTGAGGCTCAATTACTTGTGTTTATGATACCATTTCTTACAAGGTAATGTCATGACTATAATGAAATACACTAAACATGATATGTAATCTGTGAAAATTGCTCTTTAAATATTATGAGAATATCCTCTGCGGCCAGTTACATTAGGTTCAGGAGGATGGGGACTATCTTATGTTTCCATTTTATCTCCCTCAGTACTTTTTTTATTGTTAGAGATTCATTGAGGGTGCAAAGAACCAGGTTACACTGATTGCATTTGTTAGGTAAAGTCGCTCTTATAATTGTGTCCCACCCCCAAAAGGGATATCACACACTGTGACACCCCTACCCCTTCCGTTCTTCCCTCTCTCTGCTCTTCCCTTCTCCTACCCCCCACCATGTACTAAGTCATTAATTGTCCTCATATCAGAATAGTGTACATAGGATTCTTGCTTCTTCATTCTTATTTTTTTATTTTGTTTTTTTCATTAAGTCATTCATACATAGATCATAAATACATCTATGCCATTATAGGATTCAATGTACAAGTTCTATGTACAGATTATTATTTATAAAAATTGGACTGCTTACTATCTATTGAACTATATAACCTTCACCACTTTTACCCAATTACAAAATTAAGACATTTATGCTCTACCCCTAATAGATCAAACTTGTACTTGCAGTATGCTCCATAGGTGTGGTCCCCCTACCAACCCTCCCTCTACTGACCCACACCCCCACCCTTCCCTCCTTCATCCTAGGCTATAGTTGTGTTTCATTTTTCTTTCTTTTTTTTTTTTTTTGAGATGGAGCCTCAAGCTATCCCCCCAGGTAGAGTGCCATGGCATCACAGCTCACAGCAACCTCCAACTCCTGGGCTCAAGCGAGTCTCCTGCCTCAGCCTCCCAAGTAGCTGGGACTACAGGTGCCCGCCACAACGCCTGGCCATTTTTTGGTTGCAGCCATCATTGTTGTTTGGCGGGCCCGGGCTGGGGATTCGAACCCACCACCTTAGGTGTATGTGGCTGGCGCCTTAGCCGCTTGAGCCACAGGCGCAGAGCCGTGTTTCATTTTTCATATGCAATTGTGAGTGATTATAAATTGGTTTCACAGTAGTACTGAGTACATTGGATTTTTTTTTTCCATTCCGAAGATACTTTACTAAGAAGAACATTTTCCAGCTCCATCCATGTAAACATAAAAGAGGTAAAGTCTTCATTTTTTTTAATGCTGCATAGTATTCCATGGTATACATATACCACAATTTATTAATACATTCATGATTTGAGGGACACTTGGGCTTCTACCATGACTTGGCTATTATGAATTGAGCTGCAATGAACAATCTGTACAAATATCTTTATTGCCAAATGATTTTTGGTCCTTTAGATATACACCTAGAAGAGGAATTGCAGGATCAAACAGCAGGTCTATATTTAGATCCCTGAGTGTGCTCCAAACTTCCTTCCAAAAGGAGCATTTTAGCTTGCATTCCCACCAGCAGTGCAGAAGTGTTCCCTTTTCTCCACATCCATGCCAACATCTGTAGTTTTGGGATTTTGTGATCTGAGCTACTCTTACTGGAGTTAGATGGTATATCAGAGTACTTTTTATTTGCATTTCTCTGATGATTAATGATGATGAGCATTTTTTCATGTCTCTGTAGACCATGCACCTATCTTCTTCAGAGAAGCTTCTGTTCATGTCTCTTGCCCACAATGAAATGAGATTACTTGGATTTTTTTAGTAATTAGTTTGAGTTCTCTGTGGATTCTGGTTAATAGATCTTTGTCAGAAATATAACTTGCAAAAATCCTCTCCCATTCTGAGGGCTGTTTATTTGCTTTACTTAGTGTGTTCTTGGCAGTGAAGCTTTTTAATTTGATCAAGTCCCAATAATGTATTTTTGATGTTGCTTCAATTGCCTGGAGTGTCCTCCTCATAAAGTATTCTCCCAGGCCATTTTTCTCAAGTGTTTCACCTGAACTGTCTCTAAGAATTTTTTATTGTTTCATGTCCTAAATTTAAGTCCTTTAACCAGTGAGAGTCAATTTTTGTTAGAGGAGAAAGGTGTGGGTCCAATTTCAATTTTCTACAGGTCAATAGCCAATTCACCCAGCACCATTTATTGAATAGGGAATTTTTTTCCCAGTTTATATTTTTAATAGGCTTATCAAAAATCAAATGATGGTAAGTGTCTGGGTTCACCTCTTGGTCTTCAATTCTGTTCCATACATCTGCCTCTCTGTTTTTGTGCCAGTACCATGCTGTTTTGATCACTATCACTTTATAATATAGTCTCAAGTCTGGAAGCATGATTCCTCCTGATTTGTTTTTATTTCTGAGTAATGTCTTGGCTATTCGAGGTTTTTTCTATTTTCATATAAAATGAAGTACTAATTTTTCCAGGTCTTTAAAGTATGACAGAGGAGTTTTAATAGGGATCTCATTAAATCTGTAGACTGCTTTAGGCAGTATCCACATTTTAACAATGTTTAGTCGTCCAAGCCATGAGCATGGTATATTTTTCCATTTGTTGACATCTTCAGCTCTTTCTTTACTCAGGGTTTCATAGCTCTCTTTATAGAGGTCCTTCATATCCTCAGTTAGGATGCTTCATATCCTTCATATCCAGATATTTCCTCTTCTGTGGAACTACTGTAAAGAGAATAGAGTCCTTGATTGATTTTTCCCCTTGACTATTGTTGGTATATATGAATGCTACAGATTTGTGAGTGTTAATTTTGTAGTCTGAGATGTTGCTGTAATCCTTGATCACTTCTAGGAGTTTTGTAGTTGATTCCCTGGGATTTTTCAGATATATAAACATATCATCTGTGAAGAGTGACAGTTTGATCTCCTCTAGTCCTATTTGGATCCCCTTGATTGCCTTCTCTTGCCTGATTGCAGTAGCTAAGACTTCCATTACAATGTTAAAAAGCAGTGGAGACAGTGGGCATCCTTGCCTGGTTCCTGATCTGAGTGGAAATGATTTCCATTCAATATTATACTGGCTGTTGGTTTGTTGTAGATGTCCTCTACCAGTTTAAGAAATGTTCCTTCTATACCTATTTTCTTAAGCATACTGATAAGGAAAGGATGCTGGATAATATCAAAAGCTTTTTCTGCATCAATTGAGAGAAGTCTAGGAGGGTGGCATGTTTCCAAGTGTATTGATCTATTTCCTTCAGAATTTCATATTTCTGAGAATAGAGTTTTATGTAATATTCATTAAGGATTTGTTGAGTTTCTGAGGAGTCTGTTGTTATTTGGCCTTTATCATTTCGGAATGATGAAATTAAGGATTTTCCTCTTGTACTTCTTGTTAGGTTAGCCAAAGGTTTATCTATTTTATTGACCTTTTCAAAAAAACAACTCTTTGATTGGTTGATCTGTTGTATGATTCTTTTGTTTTCAACTTCATTGAGTTCTACTCTAATTTTAGTAATTTCTTTTCTTCTGTTGGGTTTAGTGTTGGAATGTTCTTCCTTTTCCAGTTGCTTAAGATGTCCCATTAAGTTGTTGACTTCCTCTCTTTCTGTTCTCTTAAGGAAGGCTTGCAACGCTATAAATTTCCTTCTTAGGACTGCCTTTGCGGTATCCCAGAGGTTCTGATAGTTCGTGTCTTCATTATTGTTATGTTCCAAAAATTTGGTAATTTCCTTCTTAATCTCATCTATGACCCAGCTATCATTCAGCATGAGGTTATTTTGTTTCCATGTTTTTGTATGCATATGTAGATTCCTCTTGTTACTGAGTTCAACTTTTATTCCATGATGGTCTGAGAAAATACAAGGAATGATTTCTATTCTTTT